CACACACACACACACACACACACAGGCGCGCGCGCGCGCGCGTGCACGATGAATCGCAGCAATAGTTGTATAAAATCATTGATTAGAATGCAAAGGATACACACCTTGAAAATTGAATCTTTTTGACTGTAACTCTTCCTCAACGTTGCTCTAGATCTAAAGAATTAAAAACATGTATCTATTTATGATAAATTACATAACTGTAAATAATATTCGTATACGTCTACGGTAGAAAGCGCGATGCGAGGAAAACGTCATATTATGTCGTAACAAGTTCCTAAAATAAATTGCAAATATCGAAGAAAGCACATGACTTTGTTTACTCCTCTTTGTTTTCAAATTTTTGCTCGCAACATAGTCTTGACTAAGTCGAAATCAATTTAAGTTTCGTTCAAACGTGATTCTACGTGTATCATTCGGGCATGCATAACTTTACGTTACCTTTAAACGATTCCTTACTCTTGTAAAAAACTTCATGGTATTCAAAGGAGATACGATCATATGTTTCCCACCAGTTTCCGCATGCAAGCGAAGAATCATCAGTATTTATGATATGCTAATTTCCCGTTACAAATTCCGCGATGTTTCGCGGACGACTGCTCTTTACCGGCTACAGCCACTGGGAACCACTCGTTTGGAAAACCAGTCGTCAACGGAGGAATGAAAAGGAACAAGAGAAGGAAAACTGTACTTGATCCTATTGTATATCGTTCTTCTAAAATCTGGTTCATGACAACTTCCTGGAGTATTTAAAAACCATATTTTTTTATGACGAACATAAACAATGGACTATGGAAATCATTAGCAATTGGAATCGATGAAGTTCGGTAACATTGTATGATACATAATATGTCATAACATTAAAGACTGTTTCTCTTATTCTCGAAATTTAATTTGCTCAACATTAGCACGACAAAAATGTCAATAATAAAAGAACAGAAATTTATCTAGAAAGTAACAAAAAATATCGATAAATCTGTAGAAAGATTTCAGTAGAAACATAGTATGACATGACTTTTACTTTTCTGTCCTCCAACAGCTTCGAAAAAAAGACACTACTGGTCGAGTTGTATATCGAAACATTGCAAAAATGTGAAAGACGAGTTGGCTTTGTATCGAAATATTTGTAAATTTGCTAACCAAATTTTTCAACGAAATGCAACATTTTTATGCTCGTTAAAAACGTAATAAAAGAAGTATTTTTCTCGGGTATCCCTCTACCCCCCCCCCCTCTTCCTCTCTCTCTCTCTCTCTCTCTCTCTCTCGCTCTCTCTCTCTCTCGCTCTCTCTCTCTCTCGCTCTCTCTCTCTCTCGCTCTCTCTCTCTCTCGCTCTCTCTCTCTCTCGCTCTCTCTCTCTCTCGCTCTCTCTCTCTCTCGCTCTCTCTCTCTCTCGCTCTCTCTCTCTCTCGCTCTCTCTCTCTCTCGCTCTCTCTCTCTCTCGCTCTCTCTCTCTCTCGCTCTCTCTCTCTCTCGCTCTCTCTCTCTCTCGCTCTCTCTCTCTCTCGCTCTCTCTCTCTCTCGCTCTCTCTCTCTCTCGCTCTCTCTCTCTCTCGCTCTCTCTCTCTCTCGCTCTCTCTCTCTCTCGCTCTCTCTCTCTCTCGCTCTCTCTCTCTCTCGCTCTCTCTCTCTCTCGCTCTCTCTCTCTCTCGCTCTCTCTCTCTCTCGCTCTCTCTCTCTCTCGCTCTCTCTCTCTCTCGCTCTCTCTCTCTCTCGCTCTCTCTCTCTCTCGCTCTCTCTCTCTCTCGCTCTCTCTCTCTCTCCCCCTCTCTCTCTCTCTCTCTCTCTCTCTCTCTCCCTCTCTCCTTCTTTCTCTCGATCTTTTTTGTATTCGTTAATTATCAGTTTCTATCATTCAGTTTTAATCATCTTCGTTATTTCACCCTCTTTGTTCTAATTTCTTGCCTTTTCGTAACAAACTAAGCGTAGATATATTAGATTCAAGAATTTATCGGGTCCGATCACATGTTAAAATGTAGATAATGAAAATCTTGCTGCGACCAAGTTAAGGATTACGTCGGTCGCGGGGTGTTTCACGAGACTAACTAGAGGGTGGCGCAAGAGTAGAGCGTACAGACGAGAACAGAGGCGGGGCACTCATGTTTATATGCATTGTATTGCTAAAACCCTTTTAACCGAATTACATTTAGCGATTCTAGTGCCGCTTTCCCAGTTCTCCTTCCTCGAGTCTGCCAGTGGCCGTCGTCACCCCTCATGCGCTTTTCACTCTCAACTCCCAACCTTCGATTCTCTATCCTGTCCTTTTCCTTTGCTTAACGCGTACCCGTTGGCGTGATAAGGACGACGAACGACGACGACAACGACGACATTGCGCTAGCTCTGGTGTAGCGAGTAGACGTGGTGGGGTTGGAAAACCAATGGGGTAGGATTCCGAGACTTGGAACGGCATCCCTGAATTCTTGATTCTCTTGGTAAACAAGTGCTTAGGTGATTCACTGCTTGTTCGCTCCTATCGGCCGTCGTTTGTTTCTAGACGCCATTGCGTTTTGCGATTCTACCTCGTTTTCCGGTCTAATGGCTTTCCGTGACTAACGGTGGATAAGGTTGCTCGGAAACTCTCATTCTTATTTCTATTTACTTTTTACTTTATTTTCGTTCTTACCTTTACCCTTACTTCGCATTGCATGTTACATGCCTGCAGTTTTATTTTCTTATATTAAATGTATTTTTTCAATTTCAATGATCCCAAAATTTTACAGTACATAACATGAAAATCAAAAAACCTTTCATACAGTTTCGTATTATATGCACAAGTGTGCTCCATCTTATTGCCTACTCTTGCGATTAATAAAAATTACATTTAAGAAAATCATATTCTTATCGATGAACATGCAAGACATTAATCGTAAAATAATTATACGTTTAAGAATAAATAATAAAGAGAGCGACATAAGAAAATTGAAGATCTGACTTGTCTTGTTCGCGGATCTCGCGACGGATTCCATCATTAGCGCTAACAAGGTTGGCCCAAGGCTACAAAGGGGACTTCACCCTTCGTCGGACTAACCTCTAGGTATACATACATGCGCGTGCAAACACGTACAAGAATGAACACGAATAGGGAGTATATGAGCGTATACACACCCCCGAGTTGTAACGTGGTCCCTCTTTGAAACAGGAGGGGGGATAATAAGATCTACGACAATCAACTCAAGAACGACGATGCCGAGACAGAGATAGTTAGATAGATGGATAGATGGATAGATAGAGATAGAGAGAGAGAAAGAGAGAGGGGGGAGAGAGAGAGAGAGAGAGAGAGAGAGAGAGGAATCAAATAGTGTAAGATACAAGTTACAGGACGAGCTTTGACGTGATATCCTACACCGCGTTATGTTCACCGTTTTCTTTACCATGAACTTACACATAAACCTGTGTTGTTTATAACATTTAGGTTTCTTCCTCGATAAATAACAGCAATGAATAACAGAAATTTTGAAGAAGGTGAAACAATGGTTCTTATAACGTTACGCGCAACATATTTGTCGGATAGTCTTGCATAAGTTTTAAGGTAAATTTAACAAAGCTGCTATAATAAGATTGAAAGAAGATGAAAAGTAGAAGAAAGATTAAGGAGTGAACGTTGCATGTTGCGAATGTAGCAAATAGACGCCAACAAGGAATATAACTGCACTAAAGGAGCCCAGTTCTGAATGAGACGCGAGTAGCATGGTGGGAAAATGGAAGGAGCTAACCACCGACGTAATCAATGTAAAATGGCGTCGAAAATAGAGGAGAAACAGAAAGCACCTTCTAAAATATTATCGCTATCCATTAGGTTATCATTGATTTCATAGGATGAATGATAAATCAATTCCTAATATCATTTGTTCCAACTATTTAGGTTTATTCTCAAATACTTTAAGAAACAATTCTGACGTTATAGATATTATCGATAATGTTGATTATTTGTAATACGATAGAAGAGCAGAAACTTGTAAAATTAGAAAAAATTAAAAAAATTATGTATAAAGGTTAAATCATTTTTAATGACTTCTTTCTAACAAATTGAAAGAACAAACTACTATTGCCGAAACTTAACGCTCCATTTGTGCACGAATTTATGTGTATCAAATTTAAAACGAATTTTCTTTAAATTCGATTAAGAATCAGCTTGAATAATGTAATAATAAATGGCATTGGCACAAACGATTCCATATACCGATACAGTATTATTCCTCGGTAACTATTCCTCTTCTATTTTTTCATAATTTCACCATGATTACTAACCTTAAAGACATTTTCGATTTAGCAATAATGTTGTATTAATAATTGAACAAGACAGATGCTCGATAATACGATTTAGTTATTTATATATTTCTTTACTGAGACCAATTTTCTTATACGACGCGTATTAAACATAATCGTATATTCGACACTAGATATAATAATTTTTACCATTAATTCTTGCCAAAATCGCGATGAACGGATTGTTTATTATTTACATATTATTTACAGATTGCCACTATTATTTACATATTGCAAAATATTTAAAATCGTGAGATATAGAAAATAAAAATTCTTTTGACAAATCTATACTATCATGAACGATCAAATTTAAACAGATTAATTACCTTGATGAAAATGAATAAATGACTTCTTCGAGATGAATAAAATTATTCGATATATCGATATATGTGTCCAGCTCATCTTCGCCCGTTATGATTATTCATTTATTGATGTAATTTCTTCTACTGCGGAATAAGTAGATCTCACATTTATCCTTTAATGGCTGTCGCATCGACACTGAAATCGTTCGCATTCGATTAATCGGTTAATTTAAATGTATTGCTCGATATATCGATTCCTATACACGAGATATGATCGAATACTATTCTTCTTTTTTTCGATATTCGATCGACTCAAAATCTCGCAATTTCTCTAAATTCTTATTTTCATGAGAAATTATCTATAAAACATCTTATAAAATAAGTTATCAAATAATAGTAGTCTATCGTATTTACCTAATATGTTAGGTTATGTATTAATCTAATATCTACGTACAACTTGTACATGTTCATTTGGTAAATATGTTTGTCGCGATGTTCAATCAAGATAAACGATACATATCGAAATTTTCGAGTTCGACTGTGAAAACTGAATGTGAATCAGATATATGAGTCATTTTCGGGCTTCTGCAGTGACATCGGTTTATAAATTTTCTTATTAAAACAAGGAAAGATGTTTGATGGAAGGATAAATTCGAAATAAATAATTGAATGATTTCGTTGAAAGATATGGATACTGCTTATTATTGTTTAACATGAATCAAAAACATCGGGAAACGATAGACTTGTGTTGTCAGGATATTGTACCTAAAATAAATATAGTTAAATTATGGCCAAAACTTTTTGAAAATAAAATTTTTAATAGAGATGACGTGAATATTTCACATTGGAAGGTAAGAACTACTGTTTAAAATAAAAACCTCGATACATACGTCACAAATATCATAAGTTGAGAAATCACTTGGACATTTATGTTTTTTATAGAAAAATCTAACTGAAGAAGCAACGGTACGAGATATATATTTAACGATAAAAACACGAGGACCGTTTGCATTTGAACGCTTTCTCATAAGTTTAAGAGAGAGTGGTCACGAAGATTCAGCAGATATATTGGAAGGAAAAAGAATTGCATTCTCTAATAATGACACGCAAACGAATATTAATCACGACAATGCCCTGAAAGATGACGAAATAGAAGAAACAAATTTTATTCCAGCTACCGAAGGGTAATATTTAAAAATTTCATCCATCCAAATTAATTTTAAATTCAAAATTAATTTATCAACTACCGTATTTTCTTTCTTAAAATAGGATACAAGATGATTTTTACCGTAATATACAATTGTCAGAAGTACCTCTACAAATTCAAGTACGAAAAGCTACAAAATTTTTAGATGGACCTGTTTATGAAAATGTTCAAACATATCCAATGCGTAGCAAACCTCGTGGATTAGTTTTAATAATAACAAATATCGATTATAAATATCCAGACAAGGAGCCTAGAAGTTCAGCTATGTATGATGAGTTGAATATAAAACAACTCTTTGAACAGATGGGATTTCGTGTTTATTCCTACTGTAATTTGACAAGACAGGTAACTATTGTTGTGTATTTTAGATATTAAAAACAAAGACAAATATTAGATCATATAATGGTAGATTTTGTTTCCCTCAGAAATTATTAGAAAAAATAAAAGAATTTTCTGAATGTAAAGAGTTACGTAAGGTCGATTCTTGCTTTATTATAATCAGTAGTCATGGTAATATCAGTACCCAGTATGAAGTTACAGAAATAGAAGGTGTGGATTGTAATGTGGAAAATGAAATGCAGAATCGTAAAACTGTTTTGTGTGTAGATATTTTAGATTATTTCACTTCAGAAACTTGCCCCCACCTAGCAGGGAAACCAAAGATTTTCATTTTTCAATTATGCAGGCAAGTACTGAAACAACTATAAAAATTCTTCTCAAAGATGATATTTTATTAATAATTAATTATAATAATTATTTTGTAGGGGAGAAAAAAAACAGAAATCAGTAAAGAAACCAAGACATACAACGGATACGTCTAATTTCCACTCTTCCGACGAGATGATCAATTTTAAAACAAATGGTAAAGAAACAATGAGAAACTATGCAGATATGCTTGTTGCGCATGCCACCCTCCCAGGATATGTTGCTTTTCGAGATAAAATAACCGGTAGTTGGTTTATACAAATTTTGTGTGAAGTATTCATGAAATATGCTCATAAGTCTCATCTGCAGGATTTACTAAACATGGTGAATAAATCTTGTGAAAGTATATTGATGTCATTCTATACATTAGATACAATATTTATCATTATGTAATGTTTCACAGGTTGATGAAAGATTGAAAATACAAAGAACGACTACAGAAGAATGTCAAACATTAACAGTAACATCAATAGGATTCAATAAACATTGTTATCTCAATCCTGGTCTTTTTGAACAGACATGATTTAAAATATTTGTTTATTACAATTGTTTATCATAATCATTGAAGAAATTAGACAAATTTTATTCATTGGATGAATCTTGATTGTATTACATTTTCATTACACTTTATAAAATATATTAAGAAATATATAAATTTTTACCATTTTCATTTTTTTCATTCCTTTTTCTTTTCTTTCTTTCTTTCTTTTTTTTTTTTTTTTTTTTTTTTTTTTTTTTTTTTTTTTTTTTT